TCTTTTGTCATACCTAAGAAAAAAGTAAGTGTGCTTTATTAATGTAAATTTTGTCCATTTTAAACTTGCATTTCAACAAATATTTAAGCAAATACACTAAAATTTTTAGTATAATTATTTACATCTCAATTTAAGGGTTTTAGCCTTATCAGTTTATGCTGGTAATGGTGAGTCTGGTTGTGAACACAATTCAATGTTTACTCTGTTTACAATAACAGTTGTTCTGACAAAACAAGGATGTGAAAAAGCACATCAAGTAAGTGAATCGGTGTAGGATTAATGATTATTGAATAATCATCGGTAGTGTAGTGAGGATTTTGATTAAAGGTTATCGAGGCGATTTTTTCTTATATAAGTTTGTTGAAAAGAGAGGGGCCTCAAAAGTGGATATTTAAGGAAATACAGAGAATCGAATCAACTTCGTTTCAGTTTAGCGAAGAAGAATCTGCGGTTGATAATGTTGAGGAAATATCAGAATGCATGCAGTTTTATCCTCCTAAAGATTACTTAACCGGATCCGACCTCTATTTTGAATATAATCCAGAAGTAAGAACACATACATAAATTGTGCTGTCGAAATTTTTGAACTATATTTTAGGCCATTATGATGATATTAAATCAAATGAGTCCTAATAAAATGAATATTATGCTTTTCTCTCACAATCTTCCTTCCGATAAAACGTTTGATAAAAAAGAGAAATGGTTTGGTACTGAATATACAGACAAAGGTAGGTACAGCACTCTCCCTACCTGCAAATATTGTATATATACATTGTATGTGAGTATATAATTTAATACAGTATTGTCATTTTGCAGAAATATCATCGGAAATGATAAAAAAATTGGAAGACATAAAACCTTATCCTGAATTTCATTTGCCTGAAAAAAATAAATTTTTAACAGAAAACTTCTCACTTTTGCCGAAAGCGGAAAACCATCCCAAATATCCACAAAAAATAATTCAGAATTCTGTGTTAGAGTTGTGGTACCGTAGAGATCAAAAATTCGGACTTCCTTTGGCGTATTATTATTTTTATTTGATAACTCCATTAGCCATGGATAACGCTCAAAATTCCTGCTTATTAGATATGTATGTTGATTTTTTGGTGATCGAATTAGCCGAAGAATGCTATCCCGCAACTCTTGCCGAACTATCGTACTCTTTTGAACCATTTGAAAAGGGAATAATAATGAAAGTGACTGGCTACGATGAAAAGTTGCCAGTATTAATCGACATTATTGGAAATTATATTAGGAACTTGCCCAATACAATTACTGAAGAAATGTTTGTGGCGGTAAAAGATAAGGAGATGAAAAAATACTACAATCAGTTCATAAAGCCATCCAAGTTAGCAAAAGATTTACGTTTATCCATCTTGCAAAACAAATATTTCTCCCTCCTCGAAAAACATGATGCTGTCGTGAATATTACGACTGATATGGTTACAGATTTTGCAAGAAAACTATTCAAAAAAATGTATATTCAGTGCTTAGTTCAGGGCAATGTAAGTGAGAATGTGGTTACCGATGTAGTGATGAATTTTATTAAAACTGTCGAATGTGGTCCACTTGATTCTAACACCGAACTTGCGGTAAGTTATTAAAAAACAAAAAGGAAAGGAAATTAAAGGTTAATGGTTATAAGTTTATTTAGGAAAAGTAGAGGCCGTCAGTTCTTGGTGAGACATTTTGAAATAAGTTATAAGTTATTATATAAGTATTGAAAAATATTGCTGGTGTAATTTGTAACAAATTAGTATGTATAATTGTAAAAGATATCAAATTTTAATTTGTACGTACTTGTAGATTATCTCTGAACGGTATCTTCATTTCAGGTAGAAGTCGCTCAAATACCTTTGGGTGAACATTGTTGTAGAGTGTTATCGTTTAACAAGAACGATGCGAATTCTATAATAACGAATTATTATCAACTAGGTTTACTCACCATAAAAAATTGTGTAACGATGGAATTTATAATGGTAAATATTTTAATTTTTAAAAAATGCTTATAATTTTAAAATATATTTCTTTATTTTAAGCACATGATTGAGGAACCATTGTTCGATATACTTAGAACAAAGGAACAATTAGGCTACAATGTTTATTGTACAGTTCGTGACACCTGTGGAATACTCGGCTATTCGATAACAGTTAATGCTCAAGTCAATAAATATTCAACGGAGCATGTGGACCAAAGAATTGAACATTTTATTAAGCACGTTCACAAACTTCTAAAGACTTTGAGCAATAAAAAAATGTTTGAAATAAAAAAGGACTTGATTAAAATAAAAAATTGCGTCGATATTGACTTGGAAGACGAAGTAGAAAGAAACTGGGCAGAGATTGTCACAAGCGAGTACATTTTTGATCGGGTTCAAAAAGAAATAAATGAAATACAAAACCTCAAGGTATCAGAAATACGAAAATTTTGGGACAACATAAATCAGTATGGAAATCATGTTAATTACAGGAAAATTAGTATGCAGGTACGTGAAAATTAATTTGCATTTTTGCATTGTCGGTATCTGTCTTATTGAATTTTAGATTGTGGGTCAAACAAATGTTGAGAATTCCGATGAAAATACATTTGAGGAAGGCATTGTTCAAGGTAACGTTGGATAATAACTAATTACATGTGTTTTATTAATTTTATAAATTAATTACTATGTTTAAGTGGATGCGAAAAATGCTTCCCAAAAGTATTCGTTGCGTTATCTCGGAACGTTAGAGGATTGTAGAAAGGAGAAAAAGAACGAGAGCTATTTTATAAAAAATATTCCAAGTTTTAAGAAAAAACTACATTTATATCCTACTCGATCAAAGGCGAAGCTATTAAATAAAATATAAATGTGCTGTTTCGCTGTTTGGCTTTTGGTTCGCCACACTATTACAATTTTATCTGTAACTTTTTACTACGTATTAATAGTAAATTATTATTCACATTAGCTTTTGAACCTGAATAAAAAACTTATTTTTGTAGGTATTTATTGAAAAACTGAACCGGTACATAAATTATATTTAGGAACTTATTTTATTATTATTATTATTAATAAACGAACTCGAAGTAGGATGACTAGCAAACGACGTTGTATGTAAAATTAAATTTCTGCGTGCCTGTTGAAACTGATTAAGATCATTTAATAATGCAGCACACTCTTCTTTTTCCATAGTCTGAAGTTGTTCTCTGTTGATGATGCAAAAAAATTAATTGACAGTGTGTTAAGTTCTACTTAATTACTTAAGCGAAGTTGTTAAGTAAGGAAGGGAACGGAGCAGACTCAAACAGAATTAATTAAACTTCTACCGGATGTTTCTTTTTGAATACGTGGTTATTAATTTCAGACATATCCGATGCTCGTACCGGTTTCTAGTTCCAGCACTATACAGGTTATTATATTATCATCAGAAAGAGCGCAAAATTCTAAAAAAAAAGTTTCAAAGCATTTTTACACATGCGCTGATTGGCAACTTGCAGTGGTGTGTGTTGGCTGATTTGTTGTTTTGATCAAACTTTGAAGCTTAATAATTGTTTTTTAGAATTTTGCGGTCTTTCCAATAATATATAGCGAATGTGATGATTTTTTAACACCCATTATATGTACTTATTGCGTAATTTTTTATTTACATGATTGATATTAAATTACGTACGGACTTAGGGAAGGAGAAAAAGGCGTCGACGTTCGGTTAGGGCAATTCCCACAAACAGAGGACTGAAACAACAAAAAAAAACCATTTTATGCTTACTAGTGATAAAAATCTATTAATTTTTAAATCCTTACGGGTCTTAAGTTTCCAGGTTTTGCCGAGTTAGGGCGATTATTTTGATCGTATGATAAAGGAAGAGACACCTGAGAATTTAAATGGAATAATTACTTCAACTCATACATTTTTTCGTATAAATGGAAAGAGCATAATTTTAGGTATACTTAAGTTGATAAATATTTGTGCTTTACGGTTCATTTCTAACTCACAAATCTTGCCTTATTGACTTTATTAAGTAACGAATGCATTTATTGCTTTCACATACATACGTACATACCTGAGATGAGCACGCTGAAGAAATTCTATCGTTACCCTCTTCCGAGTGTGGATCGTTTGGATGGAAATTTTTTTTTCTAGCTATTACAACTGGTTCGTCTTTTAAGCATAGTGGAATTTCTAAAATAGTCACTTCTTCAGGATCAACAAGACCTTTGGGAATGATCACTCTCTGAGGACGAAATTTCTTTTTCGAGATTAAAGGCATTGTCTTAGCTGGTAAGTATCGCAATACATTAAATTTGGAATATCATAATGGGAAAATAATTGTCTAGTTAATGACACTAATAAATATTTCTTAATTGTCAAGTAGGTATTGTCGAAATTTGTTAGTTTTGAGTTTGTAAAGGTTTGCAATGTTTAATCGTTTAATGCATATTTTCCATTTGTTATTAATTTTCTTTATTAAGAAGTTTATAAAGTTTGAAATAGTTATGTATTCGTGTGATAAACCGGTTAAATGAGAAACTGAACTTTCGAAGGTAATCACAGAGCTAGTGGGTCATAGATGAGTCGCTTGGCGTGGTACTAAATCTTGTGACATCTAACGATGAGAGGACAAAGTAAAAGTAAAAGACTTATCTATGAGTATACTTTCTATGGAATATGCTCAATGCATAATTGAATACAGTACGTGTACTCCATCGACGTTTACTAATGGACATGCCTTAGCGGTCAGAATTGTGGTACAACAAAAGAAAAAGATGGAACGAAGTTTCGGACAATATCCATCTCTCTCAGTATAGTGCGTAAACGTGTTATGAAAGAGATAGCACCAGTCCGAAACCATACGCCATCTCCCTCACTTTTCCAGGAAAGAAATTATTACGACATACGGCAAGACACGTCCATTAATGTATGTTTATGGTATACTCATAATCTATGGTGTATCCTGGACTATCTAAATCTATGCTGGAAGTAGTATTCTATGGCTTAAATAATATCTGCGATACTGTCTATGAACGAAACTTAACGATCTATGCTTAACGATACTTAACCTTAAAGTTTGTCCTAAAAATATCAGTAATAGTCAAAATAAATTGCTATATTATTATGGCACGGAATGCAGAAAAAGCGATGCAAGTACTGTTAATAAAACGTTATTCGTATACTATTTTTATTTAATGTGTACTACGTATACTTATGTTTTTACGATTAATCAATTTTAGGACAACATTAGCACGTTGGCGTGCCGCACAATTAGGCGAAAATGAAAAACACAAAGTGAAGAGGAGACCTTATCTTGCATCAGAATGCAAAAGTTTATATGCATGTGAAAAATGGAGAATGCAAGTGATAAGAGAAATAGCGAAGAAAGTGGCTCAGATTCAAAATGCAGGTTTGGGTGAATTTCGAATAAGAGACCTCAATGACGAAATTAACAAACTGTTGCGAGAAAAGCGTCATTGGGAAGCTCAAATAAAGGAACTTGGAGGTCCTGATTATGCTGAAATTGGGCCAAAAATGCTAGATCATGAAGGAAAAGAAGTTCCAGGAAACAGAGGTTATAAGTACTTTGGGGCTGCAAAAGATTTACCGGGTATAAGACATGAAATTAATTTTGAAGAGGCAAATTGTTTAACAGTTGTTTTAGGTGTACGTGAACTTTTTGAACAAGAACCACCTCTGCCTCCTAGAAAAACAAGAGCTGAACTTATGAAAGATATAGATGCAGACTATTATGGCTACAGAGACGACGATGATGGTATTTTAGTGCCCCTGGAGTTTTTTACTGAAAAAGCATGTAAAGTATTTATTTTCACTAGATACATTACATACACAACAGTTAAACAATTATTTCCAAATTGGGTTTTGTTTTAACTTAAAATACAATATATTCATATAAATTTTGTAATTCGTTAAATTTTATGCTATTAGCTCGTTCTTAATTATATGTTGTTATGCATCTTAACACATTAAACTGCACAATGTTTAAGAGCCCTACTACAATTGCTTTTATACATTGATATTCTTGTCTTTTTTAATTATATATATTTATAATTCTTGTATTGAGCTTACAGCTTGTTCAAGTTCAAATAAATAGTTTGTAGCAATATATAGTAATAAGCAGTTAATTAGGAAACAACAGCAAACTCTTGGACAGTAAATTTAATTTTATTTTTAAGGTGAGCAGTTTTTAGCTAATAGCTGTAGGTACAGAATCATTTTGGTACCGGTTGTCATAAGATGACAGAAAGTTTTTTCCTACAAAAAAAAACATGGTCATCCT